AGCGAAGTGGGCTGCTTCAGGAGATAGTGGGTTCCCATACACGTCTTCAAGCACAGGCTGGGTGAGGCCTTTTTGGGAACGCTGTAGAGGAAACAGTTTCTCAGATATGGGTTGGCCTAGATGGCCACTGATGCCATTTCTGATGCTCAAATTCTATGATTCTTATTATCTCCATTTTACAGATGAGGAATCAGGCCCAGAGAAGTATATGACATTTCTCCCAGCTGTAGTCTGAGAGGCAAGGTCAGAGCTCAATTGTCTCCTGCCTCTGATTTCAGCACTCTGGACAGCTCCTGAACTACACAATGATGACTCACACCAAAGGTCAATTGCAGGGACTTCTTATTGATTTAAAACAATGTTGGGACTCGGCATTCCAGGAGTATTTATGTGTAATGAGTATAAGAACTGCAGGAAGAAAAAAACTGGCTGACAAGTAGGAGAGGTCACCCTTGTGCCTGAGCTGTTGGTACGTGGGGTCTTTCTGAAGGATTCCATGAGCCAGGACCTCATTACTATTTTCAATGGGGAAAAATCTTAGTCCTAATTAACCAACACTCCATTGTCTGCAAATATCAAAGAGGAAGCACAGTTAAGTTCTCTATAGAGCCTATGCCACTTTTGACTCAAGAGTCTTCTGCATTCTGGAGTGGTCTCCCCATACACTGGAAATGATACCTAGAAGAAGAGTTTCATGCTGACTTTATCCATATGTCAAAGTAACCAAGTTTTCCCTCCTATGTTCACATGTACCTCACAGGAGTTCCTAAATGTCTGAGTCAGAAGAGGCCATGAAAACAGAGACCCAGAGACATTCAGTGGACTTCCCTATGGGTCACCCAGCTCATAAAGGGTCAAGCTGGAACTAAGACCAAGATCTCCTCACTCCTGGTTTACTGAGGTCTTTCCACTTTGCCATCTTGCCTTTGAGTCTAAACCACTTTTTGTAAATAAAATTACACTTTTGAGTGCCTCAGGAGCTTACTACTTAAAGAAACACATTGGTGATTTTTTTTTACATTGGAGAATTCTTTTGTATTGTGAATAGCAAGTTGCCCCATCTTTGCTTCTCTTTATCACTTTCCTCCTTCCAATCCACCTCCCCCCTAGAAAATTTGTTTGAAAAGTCTAGATTTGAGGACAGTGAGTTTCCTCAAAGTGAACCCATCTGTATTTCATTTTTCAAAACCTATACCTGACTTTCCACATGTCTGGGAATTAAGGCACATGTGAGCTTGGTAAAACACTACAGGGACATATGTGACATTATTCTACTCAATGATTATGCCCTCCATTAAAAATGGCTGAAGGATCTGCTTAAGCAGTTAAATATATTGTCTTCCTCTTTCAGGAGTATCCAGAAAACTTTACTTATAAATAACAACCAATTCATACTACTGATATAATTAGACAAGTAGAAGTAATGGGTTGGTTATGGGACTAGCCTCAGTGAAAAAACAAACATAGAAAAATAAAACTAGTTGTGTCCATACTTTTCAACTTGGTTCCTAAGGAGTATAAAATCCCCTCTGCCCTGGATGCCTCTGGGCTGCCCCAGAGTTGCAGAAATGTCTTACGTGTCATTAAATTCCTTTGACTAGCTGGACCTAAAGCACATCCCAGAGTGCAGAAAGCTGAGGCTCAGAGAGCACTAATAATAGCTGGCATTTTGGGGCTAGTGGGTTTGTACTGAGGGGAGGCTGATTTCCACCCGTTCCTGTGTATCCTTCAAAAAAAATCTCTATCCTTGGGAGTAAAAAAAAGTAATGGATGATATTAATAATTTTAGGAAGATAACACTGTTGACGAAATCATACTTCCAGCTCATCATTTCAGAAGGAATGGACACATTTATGCTGTGGGTCCAAAAAGAGGTTGGAATTTTCTGTTAAATCAGGCATTTCTAAAACCTAAGTTTGCTGTAGAACTGAACTTCTTACACAAGAAGCCATGATATAAAACAAGTCCTCTGGAAGAAGAGAACTGAACCTCCAGGGGTGCATAAAAGGGGTACATAAACTAAATCAGTGGTATTAAACTCAAATAGAAATGGGGGCCACTAAAGTGTACATAAGAATCCCTGAAGGCCACATTTTGACTTAGAAAAATACATAACATGTTTTATTGCATTTTTATTTATTTTGTTAAATATTTCCCAATTAAATATTAAACAGGTTTGGACCACACTTGGTAGCTGTGGAAGCATGGCCCGCAGCATTAATACTTTTGGACTAAATGATCTTTCTGGTCCCTAAAAACACTAAAATCTCTCAAAGTTGGACAGATTTTATTACGACCACTCCTCCATAGTTGTAGGATGAGTTTAGGGAAGTGCAGTAAATGAGTCATTAAAAATGAATATCTATCAGTGTTTGCTCATTTATCTGCAATACTCTAAAGGTGAAAATTTCACAACACATTGGGAGCTCAATGTGCATTTGGGTGTCCTAGTGCTCTCACTGATTTATCTCACAAGTATGAGATCCCACCAAAGAAAAAAGCATAGATCAGGGAACCAAGATCTTTGAATTCCAGACCTTGCTCCATGACATGCCTTGATATGGGGATAGGGCAAATCACCATTATACTCTATATAATTTGTCCTTCCCCAAGGAATCCAGAGAAACATGCTATGATTTCTACAACAGCTCTTCCACAATAAAAACGCCACTTCAAATAGCAGGTGACACTCTCATTATTGTAAAATTAGTCACCATAGAATTGTCATATTAACAATAATAATAGTAATTACCATCAATTTAGGCAACACTTTAAGGTTTTCAGAAGACTGTCTGGAAATTCTTTCTGCTGCTGCTGGCCCATGAAATTTCCTCTTACTTTCTCTAATTTTAAAACTGATTATGTTTTCACTGAGTGTTGGACAGCAGAAAGCCCGCAGTGAAAGAAAGAATGAAGGAGGAAAAAATGTAACAGAAAGGTCAAAAATCACCCTACTGGTTGAGTAATGTTGCATCAGCAACGATGATTCACCTTGATGACAGTGGGAGTTAACTAACCAGCCAATAAGCATTTGTTAAGCCTATGCTAGGTACTGGGGATACAGGCACAAAAGTAAGACAGTCCCTGCCCTTAAGGAGCTTACATTCTACTAGAAAATTCAGCCAAGAAAAACCATTGGTTTTGTCTTTAAGTAAAACGTAAAATGAAAAAAAGTGTTGTTTTTTCTAGGGCGTTCTCTGAGTAGAGTCCTGGTTTGAGTGTGTGGAAGGAGTGAGCCTAGCAGCAGAATGTTTAGCTTCTTCCTTGTGACTTTGGGTCATGGGGTTTATTAGGAACCTTAGGAAGGGAATGTGACTAAGACCTCAGAAGGCTGCTAACTAGAAAACAGGCCCGTGCCCTAAGGAAACCTTTCTCCACTGGTTTGGCCCAATTCTTCACTCAACACACAGGTGTCTTTCGCAGTCACATTCTCAATTCAACCAACAAAAAGCAGTTTAGATTCCTCCCTGGACACAGTTATCTACATTATAAGGGGTTTCTTTGGAAATGTAAATGATAGAAAACAAACTGACACACAAGACATACACACAATCTCAGACACGCTTCCAAGATAATTTAGAAAGACAGACAAAGAAACATGCTGAATGATGCTTAAAACACATTTATCAAATTAGACCTAAACTTTGGAGAGAATAATTTCTTTCAGATTCACCTTCTAAATACATACATTACCACCATTGCTGGCCTTCAGATGAGCCAAAGTGGGTACTTATCCAAGTTTCTTTGCTAGCATCTTAAAGAGGCCTTTTTACTGGCTTAGCAGAACAAGACCCTTTAGAAAAATCATGCCATGCTATCTTGGCTGTGATGATGCCTAGGGCTCTCTGCCTTGCTGGAAGATGTTGCTCCTTTTTTTGAAGGCCTCTGATATACAGCAAAGCCCATTCACAAAGGTAACTACCTACTAAATGCCTTCTGGTAATTGAGTATTAGGGCCCTGGCTAATTCCACTTGGACTAAGATGCAGACTCAAAATACATCTGTGGTTTAGGCTGTTCTATATCAAGGAATAAAATAAAATAAAAATAACAGGACTTTGATATCTCCCCTCCAATTTCAGGGGAAAATATCTATGGAAAAGGTGAAATACCACTGTGTTTTCATTACTATTACTAATGATGCAAATGGTAGTAGAGGTAGTGGTGATGATAATAAAACTGACATGTAAAGCTGGCCAAATCTAGCTGGCCCAACCAAAAGCAAGAGTGAGAAAGTTTTCAAAGCCATCCAAATCTCACAGCTTACACGGTTTAGCGGGCCTTGTAGCAAACTCAGAAGCCATGCTTCTTTGCCAAAGGTTTTGGTAGCTCCTGAGAGAAGGGGGAGAACTGAGACTATGCTGAGCTAAGTTACAGCAATTGTAAGATGCAAAAGGGAAATGTAATGAGATAACAGATCTGGAGTACAAAAAGAAACTAATGGAAAAGGAGAAAGGAAGGAGGCTCTACTTGTCTCCTGTTTTAATTCTGTCCCATTGAGAGAGTCTGGAGAACTACTCTAAAGAAAAGAAGAACAAAGAGTGTTTCTTCCCACCACAAGCTCTAGGCAGCTGCAGCAGGTCAGCCTTGGCAGCCCTCTGCAGCACCAGGAGAAGAGGTAGGGAAAAGGCTACAAGCCCCAACTGTGGGCCTCAAGTGGTAGCACAGCCAGGAAAGAGAAGAGTCAGTTGGCACACCTGCTCATTAAGGAATAGTGCCTGAACAGGCATTTCCCTGCAAACACTCTGGTCCAGGGAATTTGGAAGGAGCAGTCAGAGGCCTGCAAACCTCAAAATTTAACTCTAAGTAGTAGCTATAACTTCATTACCTAAAACCAAGAATCTCATGGCATGAGCAATGAAGAACATCTATTCTTCTTCCTACACATACTTCTCCTAAGGCCCCTTTTCCATCAATCTCTCCAATATACTTTATGTGACATGCTAATAAACTAGAAAAAAATCCAAGCAAAGTCAAGCAGCAAACTACCCAACTACTTACCCAGTACAACACATCTGTCCAGCCTTCCATGGTAATACATTGGAAAACAGTAAGCATTGCAAAGGCAAAATTATCAAAGTTGGTTATGCCTCCATTTGGTCCAACCCATCCACTTCTACATTCCGTGCCATTGGCGGTACACTGGCGCCCATTCCCTGAGAACGCACAAGGTGCTGGGTCGTCTTCAGCTAAAATATCTGCAAACAAACCCAAAGGGCATCACCATCCTGGACATGGGGTGAAAACAGTGCAATGCAGTAGCAGAGAGCAAAGGCAATTCCTGAATCCCCTTGGCAGGCTCTGAATGAAAATCCCAAAGGAGGCACGTCTTAGAGAGGCAGGGGGAGGAGTTTTTGTCCCCTTCCCTTCACAGGCATTCAGTGTCTCACACCACCCCAGCATCCCAGACCGGGTTCCTATCGCCCAAACATTTTCCCATCATCAAAACTCACCTGTTCTGAGTCCTAGTCCTCCCAAGGTCCTGTTCAACAGTAGTTAATCTGATCGACTAATCTAAGCTGCTTCTAATCATTTAATGTTATTCTTTACAGATAATATACCTGCAGTTTAAAAGGGGCACGCCTTAATCCAAAGGAACTGATGGCAGGATCAGTGAGCCATAATGGGGGGAAAAGGGTTTAGGAGAAAGTACAAGGCTAGACTTCATCCTCCTGACCTCAGAAGCCGGAGGCAGTGGCTGAATCTGAATATGAAAGTGTTGTGAGGCACACTCACAAAAGGGAATCATGAAAAAGGGTCACTATCAGCTCACAAAGTTATAGAAGAGCAATACAATAAGCCACATATTTTAATTAGCTGAAACTAATGATGAGTTCACAAGAAGCGTGTTCAACTGGCTGACTGCTTTGTTTCTATCTTACTCTTATTCCCCAAAACAACTAAGGTTTTCTCAACTAGATGAGAGTGCTAAAATATTTTTAATAGAATAGTTGCCATTTTCATTACTTACCTGTATCAGTGAAAAAACAAGATTTGTGCATTTTCCCAATAAAAAGTTCCAATCCTATAATAGCATAGATTATGATTACAAATAATACCAAAAGGGCAATATGGAGGAGGGGAACCATGGCTTTTATAATGGAATTCAGGACAACTTGTAAACCTAGGAAAGAAAGAGAAAAATATACTGCTTATGGACAGAGAAGAGACTCCAAGAATAATGTTTTCCAGAGGGTGTTCCACCCTTAATCATAATCTCATAATCATAAAAACCAGAGAAAACGGCTCTTTATCCATTGATGATGACAATATGTAGAAATTAATACATGATGAAACATATAACACACACACACATATTATATATATATATATTTAAGCTAACTTACAGGTCAAATTTTCTATAAATATATAAAGATATGATCTATTTCATTAAATGTAAATATCTGTAAATATAGAAATTTAAATATATAAGTTGGGGTTATTAATATTATCCAATTCCTGTTTTTTATGAGTGAATAAACAGAGATGGAGATTTTGTGCAGTTTGGCTTCCAAACACACCATTCAATTGAACCTGCTTCTCCCAGTTGTGCTGAATCTGATGGCTAATTCTCAGTCTTCATCCTCTTTGCAGTATCTGATGCATAGCTAACTACTATCAGCTCCTGCTTACTGCTCCAGCTCTCAAGGCTCTCCCCTGGTTTTCCTCCTTATCAGTCTCTTCTACTGGGTCAACATTCACATCCTAGCCCCCTAATTATGGGCACTCCCAAGACTTTGGGTGCTCTTTCATTCTCAGTATGCTATGTGGTATAGTAGATGCTGGATCTGAAGTCAGGAAGACCACTGTTAAAATCCATTTTTACATTTACAAGGCAACCATGGATAAGTGAGTGCACCTCCCTGAGCCTCAGCTTTCTCGTGTGTAAAATGGAGGCAACACTACATTACCTACTTCGCAGAGTTGTTGGGAGGCTCAAAAGAGTACATGTGTGTGGAACACTTTGTAAACTTTAAAAGGACATACATGTCATCATCATTATTATCACAGTTAATTTTGTTAGGTTCAATTATTATCTGTATGTAAATAACTTCTAGATCTATTGATCTAGCTAGGGTAGGCTGAGCTACAGTTCCCCATCACTGGCTGGACATCTCTGGCTGCCCGAACCACAGGCATCTCAAACATGTCCAAAAAGAAACTCTACCATCTTTCCACTCCTAAAACCAACCTTCATCTAGACTCTCCCATTTTGGTGTAGCATACCACCCTTTGCACACCATTTCTGGGCAGGGCTGGAGGGTGCAGGCGAATCGAGAACAGTTTCACAAATTAGGTAACATAGAAATGGAGGCATTCCAAGAAGCAGTGAACAATTGAAGGCTTTGAGCAGGAACAGACTATGATCAGATCTGGGGTTTTGGAAGATTAATCTGGTCCTGTGACATTGAGGAAGAATTAGAAATATTAAATCTGGAGGCAATTAGGAGGTTATTTCAATAGTCCAGGTAAGAGGTAAGACCCTGAACTAAGGCGATGACTGTAGAAATGGAAAGAAAGAGAAGGATAAAGAAGATATTATGAAGGAAGCATCAACAGGACTTGGAAGCTGAGAGGTTATTAGGAATAAAGGACAGGGAAGAATCAGATTTCATGTGCAGGTAAAAAGAAGGTAGTATCATTAACAGAAATAAGGTGGTCAAGAGGAGAAGCTGAAGGGGGAAGCAGCCCTTTGGTGGAAAGATGATCATCTGGGTTTTTGACATCTTGAATCTGAGCTTCTAGCAGGATATTATGCCATAAAAGCATAACAAACAACTGAGAATTCAAAGGTACTACCTGAGAACAAGGCTGGGCACACTCTCAGTTGCTTTCAAAGAGAATATCCTCCCACTCCTTCCCTAAGGCTGAACTGAAGCTGGATTGGTTTACAAGATGTGGAGCCCCTAAAACAGCTCCTCATTCACATAACTACTTTTTGAAAGAGGCAGTCATCCATCTTGGTACTTTCCATTCCAAATCGTCACTGACAAATTTGAAACCTGACCTGAACAGACCCACCAACCGCCAATTCTAGGATCTAGAAAAGGAGGAGAACCTACTGGGCACGCCCGATACTAGCCGAAGTGGTCTCAACACTCGAAAGGCGCGAAGGGCTTTGACATCAAAACCACCTGATTTGCCACTAGAGTGGTTACCTCCTTCTGTTTCTTTGGTTAATTGTTCCAAAATTACACTAAACAATCTGAAAGAAGAGGAGAGAGAGAAACATTAAATTATAACCTGAGGAGGTAAAACACAATAACCACAGTAATTTTCAGACAAGGGCTAATTCCACAAGACTGTAATTTAAATAAAGGTATATAAGAGTATACACAAAAGGGTCTGGGGAGATCTGTGTGCTGTGATACTCCATTAAAAACTGCTTTCACCTCTAAAACAAGGAGAACAGAGTGTGAATCCCCCTGCCCATTTTCCAGGATCCATCTTCATTTCCATTCTTCCCCACCTAAAGCCACAACAGCACTTCATCAAAGAACCACGGGAATACTGAGCTGAAAGGGACCTGAAGGTTCACCTAATTCAACCTCTCCATGTCAGAGAAGAGGAAATAAAGGCCCTGAGAGGTGATGTGACTCACCTCATTTCTAGAAGACTCAGTACAACTATCAATAGTAATCATCCAATTTCTCCAAGAATGATCTTGAGGCTCTTATGTTAGGGAATGGCAATTTTTTTTCACATCACAAGATGTTCATGTGAGATACCTGGGCAGGAGCTTAGTGGCCCCAACGAATTCAATGTCTCTTGGAAGTTTTCCATAATTCAAGTATATTTTTGATTATTTAATTAATATGAGACACTGGCATGCTAGATTCTTCATCTTGCAAGTTTACTCGCTGAAAGAATAGGGCTAATTGGACTTCATATACTGGACTATATAAACAGGGTAAGCCTAATTTTCATCATTAGATATAAGGCCAGGAGGGTGCAGGAGAGTGAGGGAATGGAGTTACTCATCATGGTTCAGTAGAAAAAGCACTGCAGCAGAAGTCATGAAAGCTAGTTCTAGTCAAGGCTTCACTGGGTAATAGCCATGGAACTTTGGTCAACCCAATTAGCTTCTCCAAGCCTTAATTAACTCAATTATAAAATGGGAATATTAATATCTGTCCTATTTCCCTGGTGGTTATAACAATAAAATGAATGGGCATTTTGAAAATTAAGCACTTTAATAGAGTAAAACACTAGAATAAATGATCTATTATTTCCATTTTCTAGCTGCTTAATGGAAATCTAAGGCAAGAGTGAACACAGCAAAACTGGATATATAGTAAGAGAACCCAGATCTGCATCCTTTGTGTAGAGTGCTGCATGACCATCTGCCCTAACCAACTTGGGGACCTCCAAATCTATACTTGGAAGAAAATGAGGAAAATAGTTTCTTCCTGGGATGTTTTATGATGATTTTCACATCTTCACAGTAATATCCTATTTGCCCACGTGGACATGAAGCCCTCTGACAAAAAAACTTTCTCTTGTCCATCTGCCTAACAACCTCAAGAGGGCATCTGTTCACCACTTCTGGGCCTATGCAATCCTGGCTTCTGAGAGTCCAATCTTAACCTGCTGGAAAGAGAAGGCAGTGAAAGCCTCTGAAAAAAGTACATGTGTGTCTGTATTTTTTTACACACACATATGAAGAAGGTAAGTATTCTGATGGTCATTGATTAGTCCTGCCAGTATCTCATATCTGACTGCAAAACTGATTGTTGTAATGCATGAGTCTCCTCATATGGAATAAAATCATCATGACTTAAAGGAAGTTTGGTTACACATTATTACCCCACTGTAAACCTCTGGGAGATAACAATACAATGTGATCTACATCTAGACCCAGGAATGGTCAAGGACCCCTGTGCATCCTGGCAGACACAACTGATGGAGGCAGCTTTGGTGGTAAAGCTTAATTATTAGACCCATGAAAGCACAAAGAAGAGAAGGGTATTGTCTAAGAAAGCGGCCCCAGGGCTTCGATTTCCTGCTCTGATAGAGGCTACATTTCTGGTCAGAGCTGCACAAAGTAATAACTGAACTGAAGACCTGCAGGCCTCCCTTAACTTGGACCTTCCTCTCACTGCCATTTGATGATGTGTTGAGCATGCCTACCTTTTTGCATTTTCTGGTTTATTTCATCTAAAGCCAGACATTTCATGTTATTTAAGCATTCTTTGTTGTTATTTAATGTATGTCCAAGTCCCCCATAAGATAGCAGAAAACAATTTATAGATTAAGCGAAGTAATGGTAAAGTGGTAGAGTATCACACCAGTTGGAAGACATTTTTTTTCTTTTTACTCAACAGAAAGATAGGTATTAGGAGCCGTCCTCATTACAGCCCAGTGTCCAGCAAGGCCAGCATATTGGAGATTCACAGCCAGGTTAAACCTTGGATAAGGATTTCCTTCACAGAGCACTCACTGGGGAACTCAGTAAAATGATATTGAATTTCAAACACGTTCCCACTAAGAGACTAACAGGTCTGCTATTTTTTTTTAACTTATCTCAAGTCAGGCCCCTAATACAAATCTGGGAAAAAATTCAACATCTGTTTCCACTCCACCTCCCCCAGAAAGCCCACCTCAAAACAAACAAAAACAAAACAAACCAACAATAAAAAAAATGACACCAATTCCTCTTTTCCACACAGTTCCCCAAACATAAATGACTTACCCTACTATTACTATTACAAAATCCAGCAAATTCCATCCATTCCTAACATAAGCATTAGGGTGTAACAATAATCCATAGGCTATAATCTTCAAAAATGTTTCAACTGTAAAAATGATCAGGAAGGCATATTCTACTTTTTCCTGTTGGGGAATGGGAAGAGAGAAGAAGAGAGAGAGAGATGAAACAATTATCAACATAAGCCACTTAACAAGTCCCGCCTCCCACCTTTGTGTGCCAAAAAGGGATTTTTACTCTTAGACAACAAATATTGCTTTTATTTTCAGCAACTGAGTAGCAAACACACTCAATTCCAAATGATCTAAATGCACTTAAGCCATCTATACTGATAAGTTTACTATGAAAGGGTCTGTCTGGGATAGAATGGGCATCCCTGGGTTTTCACATATTTATATTATAAAGATGGAAATGTTTCTTCTTCTTTCAATTTGAATACAGAAAAGCACAGGGGTAAATAAATTTCAGAGCCATGTTTTGTAATAATGTCCTTTAGAAAAAGTAAGATCATAGCATAATAGACCTGGAGTCTGAAGGGACCTCAGAGGCCACACAGGACAATCCTTTCATCTTTTTTAACAGATAAGAAAAGTAGGAAGTCCTTGAAGGTTAAATGACTTGTCCAAGATCACACAGGGAGTAAAGCAGCTGAGCCAGGGCCTGAATTCAGGTCCACTGTCTCCAAAGCTAACATTTTCTCCACTGTGACAGGCAGCACCTGTTTCCTTTACCAGAAGAGTTAAATTACACTTACTAAGTGAAAGGTCACAATGGGCCTTCCCACCAGCAGACCTGAGAAGCCCACAATCCTCCATGACATTTGCACACTTTCTTCCATTCTGAAGAATGTACTCTGGGCCAGCATTGTATTGGTGATAGTCCTCATCCTCCAGTCACTTACATTCTACTAGAAAGATCTGGCACAATCAGGTAAATCCAATGAAATGTGATGAGAGAAAGACAGCACTAATGACTAGGAGATGAGGAGAGCCCTGAAGGAAGTGAAGGCTTCTAAGGGAAACCTGGGCTTCCAGCTGAGCTGGGGCATTCTAAAGGAGACTGCCCTACTTGGTAGAGAGAAGCTGCATGAGGACATGTTGGGAGCTCTGAAGAGACTTTTTTTCTTTTCTTTTTTGAGAAAAGACATATGTTGTCCTAGACTCTGTCTAGGTTCAACTTCAGGCACGTGGGAGAAAAAAGAAAGACTTTGGAAGCTACAGACAAGTAGCTGAGTGCCCAACATGTCCCAGATTTCTGGCATGCATCCCTATAGACTTCAGAGAATTTCCCTTAGGTGAGATCAATGCCTCTCTTTTTAGGGGCAAGATTTCATTACTGTTTAAAGAGTCAATTTACTCTAGTGTATCTTCTAATATGTTTGAGTCTATTTTTTTTGCTGATTTTTGCTGACTAAATGCTTGAATAAATAAATTGTCTTGGTATTCACTATTTGTGATGGTTTTTCATGTAACCCAGCATTTGGCAGGAAGGTGCCAATCTGATGGGTATAATTTTGAAACAACTTCCCCTCTTAAAAGTAATCAGGAAAGAGGATTTTTGTTTTGAACCAACTATGCCCTAGACCAGCAATGTCTAAGGAAGATTACCCCTCAGAGACTGGAAAAAAGAGTGGCCAACCCCAGGTTATGCAAGAGGCAGACGTTAAGAGGCAATGTACTTTAGGCATAAGAGACAGGCTATGCAAAGGCACAGAGATGGGAGATGGCTTGCCCAGTTGGTTGAAATGGAAAGTATGTGAAGGGAAGCAATGTTAAATGAGTCTGGAAAAGTAGGCAGAAACCTGATTATGAAGAGTTTTACGTGCCAAGCTAAGAAGTTTGCTGTCACAGAGTCATTTAACACTGATAAAGGGGGTATGAGTTGTGCAAGAGTCTTTTACTAAAAGGAAGCTCCTTAAATCACAGTCAGAGAGAAAACTCTTAAGCAGAGATTTTTCTTTGTGGAATTTTGGCAGGACTCATACAGCGTCTCTCCCTGACCTAGGAGAGCTTGTCTTCATTTCTCCCTGGGATACTTCTTTTTGTCTCTCCTTCCAGTGTCCTAATACTTTAAAGGCATTCAATCACCTCAGTATTTCGCATTATTAATCTAACTCCAATTCAGTTGAATTTAACAGACATTAACTGAGTGTATGCTACGTGGGGCACTGGGAAATGGGGGAGACAAATATTAAGAAGGCCAATCTCTTCCTGCAAGAAACTTAATCTCTGACAGAGGACATAAGACAGGCAAACATACAAATAAATATAAGGCAGAATGTGGTAAGTCCACATGAGAAATATAAACAAAGTGCTATGAGAATTCAAAGAAGGAACTTTGAACTGTGTCTGGGGAAGGAAGGGTTTATAGGAAAGTTTTGAGGTACAGGTGGCATTTGAATTAAACTTTGAAAGATGGATAGCATTTTTCTAGGGAAGGAGGGCAAAGGGGTATATTTCAAGCATAGAGGGGAGCTAGGTAAGAACAAAAGCATGAAGGTGGGAAAGCGGAAGTTCGGAATACAAAATATTCCAGACAGGATACCCAAAGAATGTAAAAAAGAACAACATTAGAGAAGTCTGAAAAGGTCATAAGAAACTATATTGTGGAAAACATTAAATGACCAGCTGAAGAGTTAGGATTTTATTTGGCAAATGATGAAGAATCACCAAATTTTTTTTGACATCACAGGGTAGTGACATGAGCAGACTTATGTATGTGGGAAACTGATCTGTCAATGATGTGTGACATGAATTAAAAGAAGAAAGAAAGAAGAGGCATGAAAACCAGGTAAGAGATTAGTATGTCAATGAGAGGGGATGAGGGTGGCAGAAATAGAAAGGAAGGTCTGAATGCAAGAGTTACATTACACTCACTCACACACACACACGCACACACAAAACAAGAGTATGGAAATTATACCTTGGCAACTGTAACCACCGAGGAAGATACAATTTTTAAATGTTACTTTTTGTACTTTTTAATATAATTTTAAATCTTCACCACTATATACTGATTTTTCTTTGTGGAGTTTTGGCAGGATTTGTACATCTATCCCTATTATCTCATAGTTCATGGCACACAGTGAAGAATTAATAAATGTTTGTTGACTGTGTCACCATATGCTTCTCTATTTCCCTCTGGTAGCATTGATTTTTTCATTCTTCAGAGAGTGTTGCATTGCATGTATTGCATATCATGGCACAGGCAGGAGGCTAGAAAAACAGAAAGGCTTCCACAGTCTTCCTCTAAGGCCTCATTGTGGTATAGAGATAACCAGGTTACAAGAGCTGAGGATAGGCTTTGGTAGATGCCCCCATGCTGAAAAGGCCTCAAAGATTGCCCCAGCAACAGATGGAAGTCTACTCTCTGAGGGCCAGCCCAACTAAACAGGGAGAGGCCCATCACCAGTAGACTAGTCACTTAGGGAGGAATTATTTTTTTTACTATGGCAGCCCATGAAACAAAGTATATGAAATAAATACATATTAAGTTACATTGTGAAAGACAGGTGCAGATCACTTAACAGCTAGAAGAAATCAGGGAAGACTTCTTATATAGGTGATGCTATTTGAGCTGAGTCTTGAAGAGAGCTAAGGATTCCAAAGGATAGAGCAGGGGTTCTTAATCTGGGATCCATGAACTTGATTTTTTGAGTTATTTTGTATTTTGATAACTGCATTTCAATAGAATTAGGTTCTTTGGTAAGTCTGTGCATTTTATTTTGAACATTTAAAAACATTATTCTGAGAAGGGGTCCACAGGCTTCACGAGAATGACTGTCAAAGGGTCCATGAGGAAAACAAGGTTAAGAACCCCTGGAGTAGAGGTTTAAAGGCTGAACACTCTAAGCATGGGGGACAATCTGTAGAAATAGATAGAAGAGGAAGGTGGAATGTTCTGTACAGGGAACAGCAAGTAGGTCTATCTAGCTGGAACATAGAGTACATGAAGGGGAGTAATTTGAAATCACTCTAGGATGGGCTACATGAATGAATAAATGAAAAAGCATTTATTAAGCACCCCTGTGGTATTTCTGTTGATAAAAATATAAAAGTGAGACTATCTCCAACCTCAAGGAGGTTGTATTATAATGGTGGTGAGAGAGGAGCAAAAAATATTGGGGTTTAGGGGTTAAGTTTAAAAGAGGTTAATGGGGCAGCTAGGTGGGACAGTAGATGGAGCACTGGCCCTGGAGTCAGGAGGACCTGAGTTCAAATGTGACCTCAGACATATGATACTCACTAGTCGTGCGACTCTGAGCAAGTCACTTAACCCCAAAGTGCCTCAAAAAAAAAAAAAAAAAGAGGTTAACAGCAGTGGGAGGGAGATCTGGCCTAAGAAATCAGAGATTCTGAGTCTGATTATAAAGCAATGTTCACATCCTGCATGGTATGGTGGAAGAAACTCTGACTTTGGAACTGGAGGACCTGGGTTCCATTCCCACCTCTAACACAAACAGAAAAGGAGGGTGAATTTGAGAGAGAAGATAGTGAGTCACCTTTATTATTTACATTTTATTTTTTAATAGTATTTTATTACCACCACCCCCTCCAGTTACATGTCAAGAAATTTCTTAGGGGCAGCTAGGTGGCACAGTAGATAGAGTACCAGCCCTGGAGTCAGGAAGACCTGAGTTCAAATGTGACCTCAGACACATAACATTCACTAGCTCTGTGACTCTGGGCAAATCATTTAACCCCAATTGCCTCACAAAACAAAAAATCAATTAATTAATTAATTAATTTTAAAATTTCTTAGCATTCATTTTCATAAGATTTTGAGGTCCAAATTTTTCTCCCTCCCTCCTTCCCCTCACTTCTCCTGAAAATGGTAGGCAGTTTGATATAGTCTATATATATGTGCTATCATGCAAAAATATTTCCACATTAGTCACAATTATTACTTGAACTTTAGATGCCTGTGGGATCTCCCCTAGTTGGAGATGTCCAGTAGGCAAGTGAGGTGTAAGACTACAGCAAAAGAAAGATGGTGGCTGGATATGTAGATTTGTGAGTCAGCTGTACAAAGATAGTAAGTGAACCCATGGGAGTAGATGAGATCACCAAGAGACGGCATTAAAAAATTGGGCCCAGGAGCCTCAAAAATGCCAGCAACTCAAAGT